AAAAAACCCAATTTAAACCACCCAAAAATGAGAAAAAAAGTGCATTGAAACCACCCAAAAAATGGGAAAAAATCCACTAAAACCACCCAAAAATGAACCAAAAAACCCCAATTTAAACCACCCAAAAAAACCCATTGAAACCACCCAAAAATGGGCAAAAATTCCACTAAAACCACCCAAAAACGAGCCAAAAAACCCAATTTAAACCACCCAAAACCCATCAAAAATCCACCAAAACCCCCCAAAAATGAGCCAAAAACCCCATTGAAAACCACCCTAAAAATGGGAAAAAATCCTCTAAAACCACCCAAAAATGAGCAAAAAAACCTCAATTTAAACACCAAAAAAACCCATTGGAACCACCCAAAAATCCTAATTTAAATGCCAAAAAAACCCAATTTAAACCACCCAAAAATGAGAAAAAAGTGCATTGAAACCACCCTAAAAATGGGAAAAAATCCACTAAAACCACCCAAAAATGAGAAAAAAAACCTCAATTTAAACACCAAAATTGGAACCACCCAAAAATCCTAATTTAAATGCCCCAAAAAACCCAATTTAAACCACCCAAAACCCATCAAAAATCCACCAAAACCCCCCAAAAATGAGCCAAAAAAACCCATTGAAACCCCCCAACAACGAGCAAAAAAACATTTAAACCACCCAAAAAAACCCAATTTAAACCACCCAAAAATGAGAAAAAAATGCATTAAAACTCACCCAAAAATAAACCAAAAAAACCGAATTTAAACACCAAAAAAACCCATTGGAACCACCCAAAAAAACCCCATTTAAACCACCCCAAAAACCGAATTTAAATGCCCAAAAAACCCCAATTTAAACCACCCAAAACACATCAAAAATCCACCAAACCCCCCCAAAAACGAGCCAAAAAAACCCCAAAAATGATAAAAAGAGCCTGAATGGCCCCAAACCGGGGGGGGCTCGAAGCCCCCGGCCCCGAGGAGGTCCCCGAGTGCCGGGGGGGTCTCGGGGGGCCGCGGGTGAACCCCGAAATTTGGGTTTTCCCAGGAGGAAGATGAGGTGCCCGACGACGAAACGGTGAATCAGATGATCGCCCGGCACGAGGAGATGTTCGACCTCTTCATGGTGAGGAGGAGGAGGAGGGAGGAAGGGCGGGAAGAGGAGAGGAGGAGGAGATGGGGAGGAGGAAGAGGAGCAGGAGATGAGGAGGAGTTTGACATCTTCATCGTGAGGAGGAGGAGGAGGAGGGAGGAAGGGCAGGAGGAGGAAGGGCTCCTGAGGAAGAGGAGGAGGACATGGGGAGGAGGAAGAGGAGCAGGAGATGAGGAGGAAGAGGAGGAGGAGATGGGGAGGAGGAAGAGGAGCAGGAGATGAGGAGGAAGAGGAGGAGGAGATGGGGAGGAGGAAGAGGAGGAGGAGATGGGGAGGAGTTCGACCTCTTCATGGTGAGGAGGAGGAGGAGGGAGGAAGGGCGGGAGGAGGAGACGAGGAGGAGATGGGGAGGAAGAGGAGCAGGAGATGGGGAGGAGGAAGAGGAGGAGGAAATGGGGAGGAGGAAGAGGAGCAGGAGATGAGGAGGAGTTTGACCTCTTCATGGTGGGGAGGAGGAGGAGGAGGAGGGAGGAAGGGCGGGAAGAGGAGAGGAGGAGGAGATGGGGAGGAAGAAGAACAGGAGATGGGGAGGAAGAGCAGAAGATGAGGAGGAGGAAGAGGAGCAGGAGATGGGGAGGAAGAGGAGGAGGAGACGAGGAGGAGTTCGACATCTTCATGGTGAGGAGGAGGAGGAGGAGGGAGGGCGGGGGGAGGAGATGGGGAGGAGGAAGAGGAGGAGGAGATGGGGAGGAGGAAGAGGAGGAGGAGATGGGGAGGAGGAAGAGGAGGAGGAGATGGGGAGGAGGAAGAGGAGGAGGAGATGGGGAGGAAGAGGAGGAGGAGACGAGGAGGAGTTCGACATCTTCATGGTGAGGAGGAGGAGGAGGGAGGAAGGGCGGGAAGAGGAGAGGAGGAGGAGATGGGGAGGAAGAGGAAGAGGAGCAGGAGATGAGGAAGAGGAGGAGGAAGAGGAGGAGGAAGGAGGGAAATGGAGCGGGAGGAGGAAGAGGAAGGGCAGGAGGAGGATTGGGAGGAGAGGGGAGAGGAGGAAGGGCTCCTGAGAGAGAGGAGGAGGAGATGGGGAGGAGGAAGAGGAGCAGGAGATGGGGAGGAAGAGGAGGAGAAGAGGAGGAGGAAGAGGAGGAGGAAGGAGGGAAATGGAGCGGGAGGAGGAAGAGGAAGGGCAGGAGGAGGATTGGGAGGAGAGGGGAGAGGAGGAAGGGCTCCTGAGAGAGAGGAGGAGGAGATGGGGAGGAGGAAGAGGAGCAGGAGATGGGGAGGAAGAGGAGGAGGAGATGGGGAGGAAGAGGAGTAGGAGAAATCCCATCCCACCTCGGATGACCCCGATCCCCTTTGGATCCATCCCAAACCCCGATCCCACCTGAGAAGATCCATCCCAAACCCCGATCCCCTTTGGATCCATCCCAAACCCCGATCCCACCTCAGACATCCTCAATCCCCTTTGGATCCATCCCAAACCCCGATCCCACCTCAGAAGATCCATCCCAAACCCCGCCCCCTCTCCCGTTAACCCTCTCCCGGCCGGCAGCGCATGGACCTGGACCGGCGGCGGGAGGAGGCGCGGAACCCCAAGCGGAAGCCGCGGCTGATGGAGGAGGACGAGCTGCCCTCGTGGATCCTCAAGGACGACGCCGAGGTGGAGCGGCTCACCTGCGAGGAGGAGGAGGAGAAGATGTTCGGCCGCGGCTCGCGGCACCGCAAGGAGGTGGATTACAGCGACTCCCTCACCGAGAAGCAGTGGCTCAAGGTGGGTGCGCGTGGAGGGGCGGGGTCCCAAATCCCAAGGATCCCAAATCCCCAGGGTCCCAAATCCCAAGGATCCCAAATCCCAAGGGTCTCTGGTCTCAAGGATCCCAAATCCCAATGATCCCAAATCCCCAGGGTCCCAAATCCCAAGGATCTCAAATCCCAAGGATTCCAAATCCCAAAGATCCCAAATCCCAAGGATCCCAAATCCCTGTGAAACCTAAATGCCAAGGATTCCAAATCCCAAGGGTCTCTGGTCCCAAGGATCCCAAATCCCTGTGTACCCAAAATCCCAAAGATCCCAAATCCCCAGGGTCCCAAATCCCAAGGATCCCCAGTCCCTGTGGATCCCAAATCCCAAGGATCCCCAATCCCAAGGATTCCAAATCCCTGTGTATCCCAAGGATCCCCAATCTGTGTAGATCCCAAATCCCAAGGATCCCAAATCCCTGTGGAACCCAAATCCCAAGGATCCCAAATGCCAAGGGTCCTAAATCCCAAGGATCTCCCACCCCAAGGATCCCAAATCCCAAGGATTCCAAATCCCAAGGATCCCAAATCCCTGTGGAACCCAAATCCCAAGGATCCCCAATCCCAAGGATCCCCAATCCCGAGGATTCCAAATCCCAAGGATCCCAAATCCCTGTGGAACCCAAATGCCAAGGATCCCCAATCCATGTAGATCCCAAATCCCAAGGATCCCCAATCCCAAGGATCTCAGGTCCTGAGGATCCCAAATCCCAAGGATCATCATCCCAAGGATCTCCAGTCCCAAATCCCAAGGATTCCCAATCCCAAGGATCTCTGATCCCAGGGATCCCCAATCCCTGTAGATCCCAAATCCCAAGGATCCCAAATCCCATGGATCTCCAGTCCCAAAGATCTCGAATCCCTGTGGATCCCAAATCCCTGTGGATCCCAAATCCCAAGGATCTCCATCCCAAGGATCTCCAGTCCCAAAGATCTCCAGTCCCAAGGATCCCAAACCCCATCTGGATCCCAAATCCCTGTGGATCCAAAATCCTTGTGGATCCCAAATCCCAAAGATCACCATCCCAAGGATCCCAAATCCCTCTGGATCCCAAACCCCTGCGGATCCCAAATCCCTTTGTCCCCCAAACCCCTTTGGATCCCAAACCCCTTTGTCCCCCAAAGCCCTGTGGATCCCAAACCCCTTTGCATCCCATGGATCTCCAGTCCCAAGGATCTCGAATCCCTGTGGATCCCAAATCCCTGTGGATCCCAAATCCCAAGGATCTCCATCCCAAGGATCTCCAGTCCCAAAGATCTCCAGTCCCAAGGATCCCAAATCCCTCTGGATCCCAAACCCCTTTGGATCCCAAATCCCTGTGGATCCCAAACCCCTGTAGATCCCAAATCCCTTTGGACCTCCAATCCCTGTAGATCCCAAACCCCTTTGTCCCCCAAACCCCTGTAGATCCCAAACCCCTGTAGATCCCAAACCCCTGTGGATCCCAAACCCCTTTGTCCCCCAAACCCCTCAGGCCATCGAGGAGGGCACCCTGGAGGAGATCGAGGAGGAAGTCCGGCAGAAGAAATCCTCACGGAAGCGGAAGCGCGAGCCCGAGGGACCCCCGGGACCCCCGGCGGGCGCCCGGAGCCGCGACAAGGACGAGGAGAGGAGCAAGCAGAAGAAACGGGGGCGACCCCCGGCCGAGAAGCTGTCCCCAAACCCGCCCCCCCTGACCCGCAAGATGCGCAAGATCGTCGACGCCGTCATCAAGTACAAGGACAGGTGAGGAGGACACGTGGGGATGGGAGGTTCCTGGAGGTTTCTGAGGGGTTCCCAGGTGGTTCTTGGGGGTTCTGGGGGTCCCAGGTGGTCCTGAGGTTCCTTGGGGTTCCTGGAGGTTCCTGGCTGTCATCAAGTACAAGGACAGGTGAGGAGGACACGTGGGGATGGGAGGTTCCTGGGGGTTCCTGAGGGGTTCCCAGGTGGTTCTTGGGGGTTCTGGGGGTCCCAGGTGATCCTGAGGTTCCTTGGGGTTCCTGGAGGTTCCTGGCCGTCATCAAGTACAAGGACAGGTGAGGAGGACACGTGGGGATGGGAGGTTCCTGGGGTTCCTGGTGGTCCTGAGGTTCCTGGGGGTTCCTGGAGGTTTCTGAGGGGTTCCCAGGTGGTTCTTGGGGGTTCTGGGGGTCCCAGGTGATCCTGAGGGTTCCTGGAGGTTCCTGGCTGTCATCAAGTACAAGGACAGGTGAGGAGGACACGTGGTGATGGGAGGTTCCTGGGGTTCCTGAGGGTTCCTGGAGGTTTCTGAGGGATTCCTGGAGGTTCCCAGGTGGTTCTTGGGGGTTCCTGGGGGTTCCTGGAGGTTCCCAGGTGATCCTGAGGTTCCTGGAGGTTCCTGGGGGGTGTCAGGTGGGCCTGGGGTTTCCAGGTGTTCCAGCTCGTCATCAGGTACAAGGACAGGTGAGGAGGACACGTGGTCATGGGAGGTTCCTGAGGGTTCCTGGGGGTTCTGGAGATTCCCAGGTGATTCTTGGGCGTTCTGGAGGTTCCTGAGGGTTCCTGAGGGGTTCCCAGGTGGTTCTTGGGGGGTTCCTGGAGGGTCCCAGGTGATCCTGAGGTTCCTGAGGGTTCCTGGGGGTTCCTGGCCGTCATCAAGTACAAGGACAGGTGAGGAGGACACGTGGGGATGGGAGGTTCCTGGCGGTTCCTGAGGGGTTCCCAGGTGGTTCTTGGGGGTTCTGGGGGTCCCAGGTGGTCCTGAGGTTCCTGAGGGTTCCTGGAAGTTCCTGGCTGTCATCAAGTACAAGGACAGGTGAGGAGGACACGTGGGGATGGGAAGTTCCTGAGGGGTTCCTGAAGGGTTCCTGAGGGGTTCCCAGGTGGTTCTTGGGGTTCCTGAGGGTTCCCAGGTTTTTGAGGGGTCCCAGGTGGTCCTGGGGGACACAAGACAGGTGAGGAGGACACGTGGGGATGGGAGGTTCCTGAGGTTCCTGGGGGTTCCTGGGGGGTCCTGGAGGTTCCTGAGGGTTCCCAGGTGGTTCTTGGGGTTCCTGGGGGGTCCCACGTGGTCCTGGGGGACACATCGAAGATCTGAGAGTGTGAAGGTCAGAGGGGATGGGATCCATGGGATGGGATCCATGGGATGGGATCGGGGGGATGGGGGTGATGAGGATGAGAAGGAGGATGAGGGTGATGGGATGATGAGGATGGTGGGATGATGAGGATGAGGATGGTGGGATGATGAGGATGAGGATGGTGGGATGATGAGGATGAGGACGATGGAATGATGAGGATGAGGATGATGGAATGATGAGGATGAGGATGGTGGGATGATGAGGATGAGGACGATGGAATGATGAGGATGAGGATGATGGAATGATGAGGATGAGGATGATGAGGATGATGAGGATGAGGATGGTGGGATGATGAGGATGAGAATGGTGGAATGATGAGGATGAGGATGATGGGATGATGAGGATGAGGATGGTGGGATGATGAGGATGAGGATGGTGGCATGATGAGGATGAGGATGATGAGGATGAGGGTGATGGGATGATGAGGATGAGGATGATGGGATGATGAGGATGAGGATGGTGGGATGATGAGGATGAGGATGGTGGGATGATGATGAGGATGAGGTTGAGGATGATGGAATGATGGGATGATGATGAGGACAACAGGATAATGATGATGAGGATGATGATGATGAGATGATGATGAGGACAATGGGATGATGATGATGAGGGTGAGGATGAGGATGAGGACGAGATGATGAGGATGAGGACAATGGGATGATGAGGATGATGAGCATGAGGACGACAGGATGATGATGATGATGATGATGAGATGATGATGAGGATGAGGATATGATGAGGATGAGGACGACGGGATGATGATGGTGACATGATGAGGATGAGGATGAGGACGAGATGAGGATGAGGACAATGGGATGACGAGGCTGATGAGATGATGATGAGGATGATGAGATGATGATGAGGATGATGAGATGATGATGAGGATGAGGACAACGGGATGATGATGATGAGGATGATGAGATGATGATGAGGATGAGGACAACGGGATGATGATGAGGATGGTGAGATGATGATGAGGATGATGAGATGATGATGAGGATGAGGACAACGGGATGATGATGAGGATGGTGAGATGATGATGAGGATGATGAGATGATGATGAGGATGAGGACAACGGGATGATGATGATGAGGATGATGAGATGATGATGAGGATGAGGACAACGGGATAATGATGGTGAGGATGATGAGATGATGATGAGGATGATGAGATGATGATGAGGATGAGGACAACGGGATGATGATGATGCGGATGATGATGATGAGGATAATGAGATGACGATGAGGATGAGGATATGATGAGGATGAGGACAACGAGATGATGATGATGTGGATGATGAGGATGAGTACCACAGGATGATGATGAGGGTGAGGAAGGCCACCCCTGACTCCCATTTCCCCCCGCAGCAGCAGCGGGCGGCAGCTGAGCGAGGTCTTCATCCAGCTCCCGTCCCGCAAGGAGCTCCCGGAGTACTACGAGCTCATCCGCAAACCCGTGGACTTCAAGAAGATCAAGGTACTGAGAGATCCTCCGGGATCCATCAGGATCCACCGGGATCCACTGGGATCCTCCGGGATCCTCCGGGATCCACTGGGTTCCTCCAGGATCCTCCAGGATCCACCGGGATCCACTGGGATCCTCCGGGAGCCACCCTGACCCCGGTTCCTGCCGCCAGGAGCGGATCCGGAACCACAAGTACCGGAGCCTGAACGACCTGGAGAAGGACGTGATGCTGCTGTGCCAGAACGCCCAGACCTTCAACCTGGGGTGGCACCTGGGGTGGACTGGGATGGACTGGGAGGGACTGGGATGGACTGGGATGGCACCTTTGGTGGCACCTGGGGGGGACTGGGGTGGACCGGGATGGCACCTTTGGTGGCACCTGGGGGGGACTGGGGTGGACCGGGATGGCACCTTTGGTGGCACCTGGGGGGGACTGGGGTGGACCGGGATGGCACCTTTGGTGGCACCTGGGGGGGACTGGGGTGGACCGGGATGGCACCTTTGGTGGCACCTGGGGGGGACTGGGGTGGACCGGGATGGCACCTTTGGTGGCACCTGGGGGGGACTGGGGTGGACCGGGATGGCACCTTTGGTGGCACCTGGGGGGGACTGGGGTGGACCGGGATGGCACCTTTGGTGGCACCTGGGGGGGACTGGGGTGGACCGGGATGGCACCTTTGGTGGCACCTGGGGGGGACTGGGGTGGACCGGGATGGCACCTTTGGTGGCACCTGGGGGGGACTGGGGTGGACCGGGATGGCACCTTTGGTGGCACCTGGGGGGGACTGGGGTGGACCGGGATGGCACCTTTGGTGGCACCTGGGGGGGACTGGGGTGGACCGGGATGGCACCTTTGGTGGCACCTGGGGGGGACTGGGGTGGACCGGGATGGCACCTTTGGTGGCACCTGGGGGGGACTGGGGTGGACCGGGATGGCACCTTTGGTGGCACCTGGGGGGGACTGGGGTGGACCGGGATGGCACCTTTGGTGGCACCTGGGGGGGACTGGGGTGGACCGGGATGGCACCTTTGGTGGCACCTGGGGGGGACTGGGGTGGACCGGGATGGCACCTTTGGTGGCACCTGGGGGGGACTGGGGTGGACCGGGATGGCACCTTTGGTGGCACCTGGGGGGGACTGGGGTGGACCGGGATGGCACCTTTGGTGGCACCTGGGGGGGACTGGGGTGGACCGGGATGGCACCTTTGGTGGCACCTGGGGGGGACTGGGGTGGACCGGGATGGCACCTTTGGTGGCACCTGGGGGGGACTGGGGTGGACCGGGATGGCACCTTTGGTGGCACCTGGGGGGGACTGGGGTGGACCGGGATGGCACCTTTGGTGGCACCTGGGGGGGACTGGGGTGGACCGGGATGGCACCTTTGGTGGCACCTGGGGGGGACTGGGGTGGACCGGGATGGCACCTTTGGTGGCACCTGGGATGGACTGGGATGACCAGCAGTGACCTGGAATGACCAAGAATGACCAGGAGTGACCAGAGGTGACAAAGAATGACCAGTGAAGCAGCAATGGCCTGGGATGACCAGGGGTGACCAGGAATGATCAGGGGTGACCAGGACTGACCAGGGATGATCAGGGGTGACCAGGACTGACCAGGGATGATCAGGGGTGACCAGGACTGGCCTGACTGACCAGAGATGACCAGGAGTGACCCAAGGGTGACCAGGAGTGACCAGGGATGACCAGGGTGACCGGAAATGACCAGAGTGACCAGGACTGACCAGGGGTGAGCAGAGTGACCAAGGGTGAGCAGAGTGACCAGACCTGGGGGGGACTGGGGTGGACCGGGATGGCACCTTAGAGTGACCAAGGGTGAGCAGAGTGACCAGGGATGACCAGGGGTGACCAGGAATGATCAGGGGTGACCAGGGCTGGCCTGACTGACAAGAGATGACCAGGAGTGACCAGGAATGACCTGGGATGACCAGAGTGACCATGGGTGACCAGGACTGACTGGGAGTGACTAGGGGTGACCGGAAGTGACCAGAATGACCAGGACTGACCAGGGATGACCAGGGGTGACCGGAAGTAACCAGGATAACCAGGGGTGACCAGAGTGACCAGGACTGACCAGGAGTGACTGGAAGTGACCAGGGATGGCCAGAATGACCTGGGATGACCAGAGTGACCAGGACTGACCAGGGATGACCAGAGTGACCAGGACTAACGAGGGATGACCATGGGTGACCGGAAGTGACCAGAATGACCAGGAGTGACTCAAGGGTGACCAGAGATGACCAGGGGGGACCAGAATGACCAGGACTGACCAAGGGTGACCGGAAGTGACCAGGGGTGACCAGGGATGACCAGGACTGACCAGGGGTGACCGGAAGTGACCAGGGATGGCCAGAATGACCTGGGATGACCAGAAGTGACCAGAGGGACCAGAATAACCAGAGTGACCAGGACTGACCAGGGGTGACCAGAGCAACCAGGACTGACCAGGGATGACCAGGACTGACCAGGGGTGACCAGAAGTGACCAGGACTGACCAGGGGTGACCGGAAGTGACCAGGGATGGCCAGAATGACCAGGACTGACCTGGGGTGACCGGAAGTGACCAGGGGTGACCGGGAGTGACCAGAATGACCAGGGATGGCCAGAGTGACCAGGAGTGACCGGAAGTGACCAGGGATGGCCAGAATGACCTGGGATGGCGAGAAGTGACCAGAATGACCAGGAGTGACCAGAGTGACCTGGGGTGACCGGAAGTGACCAGGGATGACCAGAGTGACCAGGACTGACCAGGGGTGACCGGAAGTGACCAGGCGCTGCCCCCCAGATCTACGAGGACTCCATCGTGCTGCAGTCGGTGTTCACCAGCGTCCGGCAGAAGGTGGAGAAGGAGGAGGAGAGCGACGGCGAGGAGAGCGAGGAGGAGGAGGAGGGAGAGGAGGAAGGATCCGAGTCCGAGGGTGGGCCTCGGGGTGGGAGCCGGGGGGTCCGAGGGGATGAGATGGGATGGGATCCATGGGATCAGTGTGGGGGGATCATGGGATCTGTGGGATGGAATCCATGGAATGGGATC